GTAGTGTCCCTTCAGGTTACCAATACCTCACCTTCAAGGGGGATATCAATGTTTACAGCACCTAATGCAACCAATAAGTAGCCATAAATCAATTAGCTTCTATTTTGACATTTACAGTTTTGTGGCTATAAACAGAAATGGTGAGTTCAGTTATCTTCTACCCTGTAGCCAGTAGGTTTGCATAAGGGTTTACAGTTTTTAATGGTGGCCAGGGGGCCAGGGTAGGCTGTGATGTTTATGAGGTAGGATGTGGGAACATAGAGGTATTAGATTATAGGATCAGTGAAAGGGTAATCAAAAGAATTTGGCTATTAGCAGAAGAAAAAAGAGAGAGAGGCTACCCCATGCAAGGCTCCCTCTTGCGTCTATAACAGGAGGTGTCTGTTAGAACAACTGGTAAACATACCTCTGGTGCAACTGGGCCCACAGGGACCTTGATGATGGCTTTTCCAGGCTCTGATTGTTGTCCCTAGATGGAAGCAGTCATGTCCCTTGTTGGTGGCAGCAGCAGCATCAAGCCAGGCCCCACTCTGTGTCCCAAGGTGGAAACTGCCCCAGCTAAAGATGGTGGAGGCAGCAGCTGGGTATCCTCAGATGGCAGTGGAGGTGTCCCAAGTTGGAGGCAACCACTTTCAGAGATGGGGCTGGAAGAATGGGCTGTAGATGGCATTGGGTGGCCTGTTCAGCGATGCTGCAGTGTGGTGTGTGGTGCTGCAAGGGGCAGCTGCCTCCTGGCCCTGTCTGATGTCCCACAGTGGAGATTACCATGTGGGGAGGGCCATGGCAGGGGTTGCGATGTCCCAAAATGGAGGCGGCTTAGGTGGAGCCAGACATTGGTGAGTAGGGAACCACAGCGTCTGTTCCTCTCGGGCAGCAGGTGGTGTGATATTCCTCTTGGGTGGTGGGCAGCACTCGTGTGGGTCAGGCCTCTCCTCCGAGGTTTCTTGTGAGCAAGATATGGTTGGGTCTTCATTTTTTATCCGTTCAGTCATTTAATTCTTCTAATTGAAGAATTTAATTCATTTAAGGAAATTATTGGCAGATAAGTTCTTAATGTATGCATTTTCTTCCTTGTTTTCTGGGGATTTTTTTTTTTAGCCCCTTTTATTTCTTTCTCATTCTCTTATGGTCTGCTTTTGTGGTTTACTCTACTAGTGTGTTTTGATTACTTGTGTATTATTTTGTGTTTATTATAGATCTTTGCTGTGTGGTTTTCATGAGAGTTACAAAAACATCTTTTGATTAGGACAAACTTTTAAAATGATAGCAGTATTACATGATCATAAAGATAAGAAAAATTTAAGAGAGAAAATATACTAATTAAAAAGTCAGCAAAGGCATTCCATTTCTCTACACATTTTGATATTTTGGTATTTTTTATCTATTTTCCTTATCTCTTAAAAATAATGCAGTTGTTATTTTTAATTTTCTTTTTGTTCTTCAGACTACATATGAATGGCTTATACACCATGTTTGTAATATTAGAACATCGTATAATTACTCTTACCAGTGAGTTTTATACCTTGCTAAGGAGAGTGATAGCCAGCATCTCTTTGGGGGGGCGGGTTCTTCTTGCCCAAGAGGATGTAAGCCACCCTAAAACTTAAAGTCTTAAATAATTAATAAATAACAAAACACAAATATTCAGAAATATATTTACAAAAGCAAAACCCCTGATAGATCTAGTCCACATGGGTGCTAGAACTAGACAAAGACAAGATGGCTCTGGTGATTTATTTAAGGGGATACATCAAAAGCAGGGAAAAGGTTTCAAGGGCAGAGTCTTGCTTCATGATGTCTTGCAGTCAGCAGGTTGATTGACATCTTGGCAGGTCACACCCATCTCAGGTGCTTTGTGGGCCATGGCAGAGTGGGACAGAAATTCACACTGTTCCTGGGCAATTGACCAGAGAAAATATCCACTGGTCATCCCTAGACACCAGATGTTTCTATCCACTAGGCTTCCATGTGTGTTGACCCATGTGCAACATGACCCATGGACAGCTCCAGACACCTTGCTCCATTTTCTTCTTATTCATGAGTCTCTCTCTCTCTCTCTCTCTCTCTCTAATTGAAGAGCCCCCTTTATCTTTTCTTATAGGGGAAGTCTGGTGAAAATCTATTTTCTCAGTTTTTGTTAGGGAGTACCTTTGTTTCTTCTTAATTTCTAAAGGATGTCTTGGCTGGGTGCAGTATTATCCGTTGATAATTTGTCCTTCTGTACTGTGAAAGTCTCTTGCCACTCTCCTGGTCTATAAGGTCTCTGTTTACAGGTAAATTAGGGAGACTCTTATTTTTATGTGTTTCTTTTCTCTTGCTGCCCTGGCTCCTTTGCCTTTAGACTTTGTTAGCTTGATTACTGTATGTGTTGCTATGGACTTGGTTGAGTTAAATTTGACAGGCCATCTTTGATCTTCTGGTTCCTAGGTATTTGTTTTCTTCTCTTGCCTCCTATGATTTCTTTGAATCTTTCCTACTTCAGTGGCATTCTCAAGTTCCCTTTGAAGCCCAATAACCCAAATATTAACTTTCTTAAAGTCTCTATAAGCTTTCTTCATTTCTCCTCATTCTTTTTTCCTTGTCTTCCAACTCTGTATTTTCAAATAGCTTGTCTTTGAGCTTACTGTTTCTTTCTTGTGTTTGGTCTATTCAGTTACTGATGCCTTCTGTTGTGTTTTTTTATTGTGTTTAGAGTATTTTTCAGCTCAAGGATTTGTTTGGTTTTTAAAATTACTTCCATCTTTCTGTTAAGTTTCTATGTAATATTATCAAATTATTTCTCTGAGCTCTCTTGAAGCTGATTGAGTTTCCTTAAAATAGCTGTTTTAAATTTTCCATACTAAAGTTTGCCCATACTGGTACTGGTTACATTCTGGTCAGTGTATTCCAGTTTATTTTGAATATTGAGTGAGGTCATAGTTTACTGAAAAGGTTTCTGATGGTTGTTGGTATGTGATGTTGTCTAAACATTGAAAGAATAGGTGTTCTGGTCTTCCCAACCTGGCTTTGTTTGTGCCTGTCTTTATAGAAATTCTAATTGCTTGTTTTCTTTGAGCCTATAGTCCCTTCCACTATTTTAACACTTTATTGCATCGAGGCTTGCCAGGAATCAGCTATTAATGTGCTATATAACTGTTTCAGTACTAGACAGTGATCTAATTCCATGTTTATTCCAAATCAACAGTTACTGTATTGACCAGCATGAAGTAGAGCAGTAGCTAAAAAGGGCAGACTATCCCCACGAGTCTCTCTGGGGCTGAGATAGGCCCAGACATCTCATTCACAATCACCAGCCTGTGGTCAGGTACTTCACAGCCCTGGGAAAAAGCACCATGGAAGGGCCAGCCCCAGGCTGCTATGCCATGCCTCTGGCCACCAGTGCCCCTGAACTGTGTCCTACCCTGAGATCACAGCCCACAGAGACCATGCAGCGCTGGGAAGGAAGAAGACCCATACTGATATAGGTTTCCTTGTGTTCTTGGGGCCCAAGACTGCCACAGCCAGCCACAGGGGATGCTAAGTGGAATATAGTTGTGAGAGACACTATTTCTGCCCTCTAACAGGGCTGTTCCAGAGGTGCCATTTGCAGGTGCTGATCTGGGCTTGGCAGCCATTAGGACCTGCCGGTTTCTCGAGCCCATCACTGAGTTCCAAGGCAAATTTGGAACTTGTTACCTGGTCCTAACCTCACTGAATGGTGTTGTAGTCTGTCACCCCCTGAGCAACGTTTCCTCAGTTTCCCAAAGGAGGACAGGTGAAAAAATTAGAAATAAAAACAAACAAACCCACAAATACAGGAAAGTGGGACCCTGTGGGAAAGCCAAGCCCTGATGAGGCTTGACTGACCCCATTGCGGGCTCAGTACGTTTATTATATAGGTTTTTTTAAATTTTTTATTTGTTTTAATTAATTACACATGACAGTACCATGACCTTGACATATACATTTGAATCAGATGGGATATAATTTCTCGTTTTTCTGAGTGTACAGGTTGCAGAATCACATGGGTCATGCAGTCACGTAGATACACACAACAGTGGATTTACTGTGAGAAAGCGTCTTCAAGATAAACAAAGTCATGAGCAGGAACAGCTCAGTTAAGAGCTTATCAGAATCAAAATGCATTCTGCTGTCATATATACCTCATTTTAAAAAATGGGTCACATCAGGACCTCACAGCCACAGGGACTTACGTAGTCTCAGGAGGACAAGGGTGGACCTAGGCCCACACTGAGGCTGGTAATGATGTAGGCCAAACTTGTGTTTCTTCACCAGCGTGGAGGTTGCTGTCTGATGTCTGGCAGGTCTAGAGGCTCTGTCTGTGAGCTCTAGGAGAGGTAGACACACTTTTGGTTTCTGCCTAAGGCCAGATATCAGCCCAACAGGCTGGGCTCTGAGCTCAAAGGCAAAGTCTTAGGCTAAATTTCATGCCCTGATGCCCAGTGGGTAGAGCATTGCTCCTGGTTTCTTGGCCCTAAGTTGGGGGAGGTCTGGTGGAGGTTCTCAGTGGCCTGACTACACAGATTTTAAGAGTCCAGGCTGGAGGCAGGAATTCTGGGGCTCTGGAGCACCGGGCTCACCGTGGCAGGCCTGGCACTGGGGTTCAAGTTGAAGTCCTGGTCTTCCTTACAAGGCAGAGGCATTCTCTCCATATTACTTGGAGCTGGGGAAGAAGTGATGTGGGTGACTCTTTTCTTCCTGTGCCCTTCAATGTGTCTTTTCTTCCTGTTGTACTAAAACCAGGCACTCGGGTGTCTCACCTGGCTTCTTTAGCTAAAGAGAAGTCAGTTTGGTGTGTGAATAGCTGTTCAAATTGGTGTTTCTGTGGGGAGAGGACCATGGGAGGGTCTTGGCCACCATCTTGTGAAAAGGGATAAGTGGTTTAGGCCAAGAAAATGATTGCCAGTTATTATGATATTATTATTGGAATTATAAGAGGGTTAGATATTTATGATGCTCTCCAAATCACAGCCAATAACATCAGCTTATTTTTTTTTAAGCGTTATTGCACATTCTCTGAACGATAAAAAAGCACTTGGCAAAAGAAGGAACAAACGGTCTGGATTCAAAAATTTGAGTTCATCTCATCTTATTGCCATTCACTAGCTGTGGGGCCTCAGGTAAGGCATTCCATCTTGAAAAGCTAATTTAGCCTGTAATAATTGAGAGATTATAATAAATGAAAATGTATTTTTCAGCCATATCATGCTGGGTACTTATACCTAGGGGTAGAAATTATCCCATTTTAGAGATAAATGGGCACTCCCTAAATATTTTCTTTCCTCTGTACCATCCACATTCCACGTGGAAGCACTTGGTAAATTGCAGAACACTATCCAGTGATCAGTTATTATGCATGAAGCAGTATCATGCTTCTTAAATCACAGTGTGTGGACTTTGGGGGCCACAAAGTCACCAAATTGATCTGAATGCATTTGATATCTGTATAAATTTTACATAATAACAAATATCTTATTTTTTTTTTTTTATGTTTTGTGGTGCTAGAGGTCAAACCCAGGGCCGTGTGCACGCTAGGCAAGCACTCGACCTGGGAGCCATATCCGTATTCCAACAAGTACTTCAAAACGTTTTTTAAAAAAGTGGACAGATATTATGAAGTAAAATGCTAATTTTACATTCATTAGTTAAAAATAAAACTTCAGAGAAATAGCTGTCTTAATTTTCTCATTAAAATGTGATTATGTTATTTTATAAGAGGGTTCTAGCAAGAGTAATGTCATCTAGACAAGTAAGGAGCATGCTGAGTTGACTATCACATTATGAATATTTAACCAAAGTTATCTTCCTTACTGCTTTTGTCAGTAAGGAAGGACTGGGACATTTGAGAAGATTGATTTCTCAGGTATTTCAGAGGCATTCTTTATTTTGAAATGGTGCTGATAATAGTTTTGGTTTTTAACTCTACATATTTTGGTTATTAACTCTACATGTGCAAGAATAGTTTTCTCCAGTCCTTACCTACTGGAAAATTAATAAGGCCATTTTAACCATAATAACTTTATTAACATTGTCTCTATGGATGGAGTCTTCAGGCTTCTGAAATTCATGATCCATTATTTTCTACTAATAAACATGCCATCTTTCATTCTTAGGCTTATTTCTTGAACCTCATATGTTGCTTCTCTGGAAGTTACTAATTGCTAGTAATGTCAAACATCTTTTTTTTTGAAAGTTTATTAGAAATTTGAGCAAATTGCTTATTCATATATTTTGCCCATTTTTCAGATAGACCATTTATATTTTTCTTATTGGTTTGTGATTCTCCATATATTTAGAAAGCAAATCTTCTGTTAGTTACACACATTGAAGATAGTATCTTCCCAGTTTATTTTCACTTTATTTACTCTGTGTGTGTGTTTTTCCTACAAAGAGGTTTAGAATGTGCACACACTCAAATTTGACTTTAGGCTTTTCTTATCTTGCTCTTTTTGAGCCTTATTTAAGAAATGCCTTTACCTCAATGTGATGAGAAGTCTTGTGTTTTCTTCAACAGCATCACGAAATATATATTGTGTGTATGATGTGAGATAATGATTCAATATTGTAATTCCTCATATATAAGTGTCTGAACACTTTTTGTGTTCAGACATCCTTTCCTTGTTATGTATAATGTCACTTTGATCGGATACCATGCTTTTATTTCTGTTTCCATACTCTATTATTAGTTAATTTTTCTCTGTGACACTATCATATCATTAAATAATAATATATTACATACATAATAAACTCATTATATATATTTTTGTGAAGGATTGGTAAGCTAGGAAGAATAGTGCTTTCAAATAAACATTTTAAACTTATTTTGTATAATTTTGTCTTTATCCTTTGATGTAGATTTTAGGATCATCTTGTTAAGTTCTCAAGGAAAAGCCCTTTGAGATTTTGCTTGGAGTTTATAGACTAATTTGGCAAAACCACCATCTTCATTTTATTGAATTCTTCCATTCAAAATATCTTACATATCCGTAATTAATTATGTACTTTAAGTCTATCACTAAAGTTATAATGCTCTTTAAAGCATTATATATTTTTATTACATATTCTAAGTACTTTGTAGGTTTGTTATTATTAGAAATTATACTATTTTATTCTATGTTTTTCCCTTTGGATTATTACTGAAATAAAGAAATGAGGCTTTTGTATATGTTAACCTTATATTTAGAATCATTGCTAATTCTTATTTCTAATACTTTTTGTATTATTTTTGATAACATACATAGACAATCATATTACTACAATATTTTATTGGCATAAAACCCAATAAGTCAATGGAATGGAGGAAAGAATTTAAAAAATGGACCAAATCATATTTGAACAAAGGATTTTTGACAAAGGCACAAAGGTCAATGAGTGGAGAAAGAATATAATTATGGCAAAACTAATATCCATGTGAAAAACATGAACTTTGAATCAGACCTTGTACCATATACAAAATGATTCAAAAGAGGTTGTAGATATAAGTGCCCAAAGGCCAAACTATAAAATTTCTAGAGGAAAATATAGGACAAAGTCTTCTGATCTTGTTTGGAAAAGACTTCCTGGACGTGACACTAAAAGCGTGATCCATGAAAGAACAAATTAATAAATTGGATTTCAGCTACTGTATGCATACATCAAGATTTTCACATTGTATGCTTGAAATAAATTCACTGTGTTGTGTGTCAGTATATTCAAAATTCCATTTACAGAGTGAATCCTGTTCTCTAAGAATTACAGATTCATTGTACCACCTCTGAAGATGTCCTTTCTCAATAGTAGTGGGCATCTTGCTTATAATAAGCTATGATTTTTATTTCACCCAAATCTCCTTTACTGTACTGTAGACATTTTACTCTCCCTTTAAAAAGATGTTAACTCTGAGTAAGGTCAAGCACACCTGTGATCCCAGTGATTGGGGAGGATGAGGCAGAGGGATTGCAAGTTTGAGGCTAATCTCAGCAAGTTAGTGAGACCCTGTCTCAAAATAAGACATAAAAAGGGCTGGGGATGCAGCTCAGTGGTAGAAATCTGGGAGTCCAATTCCTAATACCACCAATAAATAAATAAATCGAAAAAGAAAGAGGTGGGGGGCCGGGTAGGAGGAGATATTAACCATTCACCTTGCTTATTTTGAATGTAAACCAACTTTGGGTGGTGTAACTTTATGTGTTTGGGGTTTCTTATAGGCTGACCCCAAAGTTGGGAGATGGAGAGCAAATACAGAGAAATGCTGTTACTGAGGGGCCTGGATAACATCACTGATGAGGAACTGGATAGGTTCAAGTTCTTTATTCCAGATGAATTCACGATTGCCAAGAGCAAACTGCAGACTGCAAACAGGACAGAGTTAGCCAACTTGCTGATTCAAAATGCGGGTGTGGTGCCTGCGGTGACTAAGACCATACGTATCTTCCAGAAGCTGAATTATATGCACGTGGCAAAAAATCTTCAGGACGAGAAGGCAAAAGGTACACGGAGTTCTTCACCTTTTCTGGCATCAGAGGGAGAAGACGCCGGGGCACATTGGGATTTGTTTGCTTGCTCAGATGTCCATTTGACCCCTTTTACTGATAATTGCTAGAAGTCTTTTTTTAGAAATTCCATAAATGCAGCCCAGCATGACTTTGCCACCTCTGGTTCCAGCCCTCGGGACGGCCACTCACCGTTTTCTCATCTTCCCTTTGCCCATCTTTGCCTTGCAGTGACCAAGCACACAGGATGAATGGCCGTAGTGCTTTAGACTCTATCACGTGGTCTCACACTTTACTGGAGCACACTACAGCCCTGGAAAGCCATAAACTGGGGTATCAGGCACCTCTGCCTCTCCTCACATGTGGTGCTTCTACACTGGGCCAGCCTGCCAGGGTCCCAGACTGCCTGTCTTTCTTCAAGAAAGACCCTGTCCTTCTAGTCCAGGGATTCTGTCTCCTCTTCATCTCCAATGACAAGATACATTTCCCAAATGATTTATATTATTCAGTGAACTATTGATCAGTCTCTAAGAAATATCTCCTTGTCGTTTAAGCTCCTGATTGTTACATAAGAACAACTGATGCATCCTGGCTTTATTGACAAAATGACTTAAGAAAAAAAAAAAAGGTCAACCAAAGACGATCTCATCCAAAGACTCTCCAAAATGAAAGACACCAAAAGTAGTAGTTTTAAGATTCTAATATAGTATTTGTTTGTGTGTACAGTATGAATAACATACTTCTCATATGTGATTTCTATAAAGGCTAAATGAGGTCCATTTAAGTGATTATATAAATGTACAGATATGAATTTTTATCTAAGGCACTTTAGAGAAAGGATTGGTTGTGCGGCCATGCCTTCTATTTTCCTTGGATTGCTGAAATTTGGAGGTGTATTTCTTAGATATGGCCACTAGGTGGCAGTAATGGCACACAGTTGCTCCATGAAACCAATTGCCCTGCTTCTTGAATGTGAACAAACATAGACTATTAGTATGTTTTCATCTCCTCCATCTCACCCCAATGAAAAATTTATTCCTCTTGCCTGGCATGGTGGCACATACCTGCAATACACCTTACTTGTGAGGTTGAAGGAGAAGGATTGCAATTTTGAGGTCGCCCTGGGCAACTTAGTTACACCCTCAGCAACTTTGAGTCTGTCAAAATAATAATAAAAGGACAGAACCCTCCCCTCCTCCGAACCCTCATTCTTCCCTTTGGCTCAGGGAACTCCAAATTTCTCTAACCACAATCTTTACTCCTTACTCCAGTTTGCTTTTCTAATGATCCTGAAAATTTGATTACCTCAATTAGCTAAAAATGATCCAAAGTGGTCCCAGGCTAGAAATCTAGGAATGACTGGCAGCTTCGTAAGCTGTGTGAGAAATCAATGAAGTTCCTTTGTAAGTCAAAATTCTATCCATAGTTGTCTTTAGGCCTACTTTAAATGTGCCGGGTTTATTTGTGCCCCATGTTACCTCTCCTATGTTTGGGGATCAGTTTTGTGTTTTTCTTTGTAAATTTCATCCTCTGTCAAGTGTTTTTTGTTTGTTGAATGTTACACCAAGGGTCTGCATGCTTCTGCATGCTTCTACTGCTTGGAAGGTATGGGATATTTGAAAGATTATTAGTATTATTATTTTTGTTGTTATTGTGTGTTGGGGGGTAATGGGCATTGAACCCAGGAACACTCTACCAGTCCTTTTTAATTTTGAAACAAGATCTCACTAAGTTGCTGGGGCTGACCTCAAACTTGTGATCCTCCTGCCTCAGCCTTCTGAGTAGCTGGGATTACAGGCATGCACCACTGCACCTGGCTTGCTGAAGGAATCTTTAATGACTCAGAGTCAATAGTTAGTAGATAGAGAGGCTTTTGGGGGAAGAAAGATGAAGACTAAGAGGTTACTTAAGCATGATAAAAGGAAGCTGAGAGAGTACATGATCAAAGTCTGTAAAAGTCATGTCAGATTAAATTAGAGGTTGAAAATGGCAAATCAAATAGTTGGAAATGTGAACCTGATGATTAAGGAATGTAAGAGATGTGTAGTGGGCAGATGCGTTTTTTTCACAAAAATTTTTTGGTCCCTATGTATGAGATGAAAGATGGCTGATGTGATGGGGCAGGAGGACATGAGTCCCTCGACCTTCCTGACCCTTTTCTCTCCTATACTGCCTGCTTTGAAAGGGGGACTTTCATCTACACACCTCTCTGAAACCAGTTTCATGGAACTCACTTACCGTGGGAAGGTCAGTTCAACTTCTGGGGCAGAGGTCCCCCTGTGATCTCCCTGTCAGAGGGTCCAGTCCTTCCTGCTGTTTGAAATGTAGTGACAGAGAACTTACTGCAGCAGAAGACAGCTCATCCTGCTGTGAGCCCTGATGACTATTCTTTCTCTTAAAATCAAAGCGACCTTTTGACTTCAGCCTTGAACTGCTCAAGTTCCGTCAGGAACAACATCCAGTGATTTCTCATGCCCTCTTCTTCCTGAGGGTGCCTTAAATAATTGAATGGAACCATCTTGATATATATAGTCATTTTAAAACCAGAGCCCAAAGTTACCTGAGTAAAATATAATCTGACCCTAGACCTGGGGTACCCAAGCCAGACCCTAAGGCTGCATGATGGTGACACTGTGAGGAGCTGCCATGCCATCCACCTGTCTATCCATTCACCCTGCACCAAGAATCCTTCTAGATCTGGTGATAAAGCAGAGAGATAACAAGTAAATGCTGTTGTTTATTCAGGAGCATGTTGTAGAATTTCCACATATTTCTGAATATCCTAAAATTTTTTGTGTGTTTTTGATTTTTGGTTTCTAGGTGGTCGGTTCTGCTGTTTTGCTGCTTGGAATCTGTATTTAGGCAGAGCCGCAGGCTGGGTTCTGAGGCTGAGAAAGTGGGAAAAGTTGTTGGGATTGCTTTGGGGTTACTCCGACTGGGAAGGCCGTAAGCCATGCTCTAAAGATATATGAGGTCTCAGACTTGCTTCCTTGCCTGGGTCCAGGCAAGGTTCAAATTGTGCTCCAAAGCTGGGTGGCACCACTTCTTAACCACTAGGACTGGAGAGGCCAGATGTTCTCCTCTGCAGATGTGCAGGGACACAGGCGGGGTAGTGGGTGGGGTCAGTTGCTCAACCGCTTGTGTTTGGCAAGGCCAGATGCTCCCCTGCAGAGGTTTCTGTGGAATTCGGCTTGCGTCTTCGCCTGGGGAAGCATTATGCGGAGGTCTGAGGTTGGGCAGCTTCCCTCCACAGGTGTGCATGCATGTGCACTTACCTGTATTGTGGGGAAGACCATGGCTGGGTGGGAAAGCTGGTGAGATAACTGAAAACCATCCGGGCAGCTGGGCACCAGGGCACACACTGATACACACTGATAAGCCCCGCCACTCAGGAGGGGAGGAAGGATAATCGCAAGTTCCAGGCCACCCTGGGCAACTTTTTGAGACCCCCATCTCAAAGTTAAAAAAAAATAAAAAGGACTGGGGATGTAGTTCAGAGAGAGAGAGAGAGAGCACCCCTGGGTTCAACCCTCAGTACCCCAAACAAGAAACAAAAAAACAAAACAAAACTCCAACAGACCTATTGATCATGTTTCCTGCAGAACAATGCTGTTGGGACCTCTCTCTGGTTTGGAGCCTCCATTGGCCAGAACGTAGGGCCACCAAGATCCGTGTGCTGATCCCTGTGATACCCACCCCCTTCTTTCTTTCTAAGTGGGCCCCCCGGTTGGTCTATCACTGCCAGTGCCTCCAGTGTTCCTCAAGACCTAAGTGAGCCTCCTGCAGAACTTCCCAGGATGCTGGGGACCAAATGCTCACCACGCCTCTTTTCTCATTGTAGCACCACAGGGGTCCAGAGGAATTCTGAGTGGTGCTGGGCTGCCTCGGGAGAGGGGTGTCATGGGAACAGTGAGACCATTCCTCTTTCCTTCCGGTGGAACTTTTCTCAGTTCTGTGGTCCCAGAAGGAGTCTTGGCTGCACTCCCAGGTGGTTGCAAAAGTCTCCTTGGGTGTGACGGCTATGAGGCAGACTTCTTTGAGGCCAGCCGGATCTGGGAAGCTCTTGTTCACCCCTCCTGCTAGGGTCATTCTTCTTATTTTGTTCTTGAGAGATAATGCTGTTTAAATTTCTCAGCCAACTTTGTGCCTCTTCTGTTTAATATGTCCTTTTTTTTTACATTTTTTTTTTAACAGTTGATGATAAGTATATGGGAAATAAAAAGACCAAAGAAGCAACTCTGACAAAAAGGAAAAGTCTAACTGAAGTGGGTTCTGTGGCCTCTGCAGTCAGCGGCAATGATGCCGGCCAGCACCGGTTGGCACCAGCAGTCTCTCCTCATGTGAAGGTAGGATGGAGTGAGCAGAGTGGCCTTCATCCTTTTGAGAGTACCCTCTAGTCATTGTCCCTGTCCTTCCCTGCACGAGGATCTCTGTTCTTTATCTCACAGCTTGCAATTAAGGAAAGACAGTCTATCACATGAAAATTGTTCCTAGGTTACAAAAAGAAAATTGCACTCAAAAATACTTATGGAGTTTCTAATCTCTAACATGCTCTGGACATTTTAACCCCTTGTTAGACTGGATCCCATCAGAAGAAAACTCAGACAGACAGTCATTTTCAGGGAGTATATTTTAGAGTGCTTTCAGTATTCATGCCCATGAGGAAATAAAAGAAATAGAGTGGGGACAATGTCAAGTTCAGTACCTTCATGACAAATGTCTCAGTCCATCCCACAGAGCACTTAGGAGCTGAGGATGCCCACAGACAGTTAGGAACAGTTACTATACACCGGTGAACGCCAGATAAAATTAAAAAAATAAAATTCAATTTCTGGCATATTTAAGACAAAGAAAGTGCTCAAAGGAAAACAAATACAAAACCCAAAAATCTACCAAACGTGCAGTTTTGTCTCCTGTGAAGTAGGAATCAAGTAATTTTACAGATGTGTGAGCTATAGAAATTGATGGAATGTTATTCCATTCTCTTTGCCCAGAGCAGCCACTTCCTCTGGGTTTGGCCTAGAAACTTCTGAAGTTGTCAGGGAAATGATATGAAGATATAAGTAGTGCATTTCAGAAGTTGGTCATTAAAATTATTTAGTCTGGAAGACCTAACTAAAGGTACCCAAAGACAAGAAATTCCGTATTTGACCTCAGGGAAGCTGAGGTTTTCCTGCACTGGTCCAAACTGAGTCTGTGGGTACTGTCCCTCAGGTCCCCTTATGGACCCATGTGCCAGGTCCCACCAGAGATCCAATTTAGACACATTTGCACTTGGTCTTACATGGGTCTTCCCCACCTCCCTACATTTTCCTTTGGCTTTGGAGAGCATATTGCTTTTTAAAAGTAACATTTGCTTCTAAAACAGACACAAAGAATCTCATATCTCTGTTAATTTCAAAAAAACACAAACCATAGACATGACAATAAAATTACTTAAGATCATGTCACCTAGAAAACAACATATGTGATATTGGTAAATATTTCTGTGGAGTGTGAGTATTATTTAATTGTTGATTTTGCCAATAAGAAAAACATTGTACATTCTGTTTTGGACTTCATCCTTTGTTAAATCAATTATAACCATCTACCATATTATTCTTCTAAAGCATTTTTAATGTTTGCATAGTAATCTATGATATGATTATACATACTTATTTAATCAAATTCCTTGTTTTGGGCATTTATATATTTTTAAATGCAATGTGATAGTTTATAAACAGCAAGATCCTATTATCCAAAGATCACATTCTTTTCAGTATTACTACTTTTCTGAAATGCTTAAGATTTTACTGTAGTAAAAATAAATAACACTGTTCAGTCTTTGCCGTTTAATAACAGGGATATGTTCTGAGAGACATATCTGTCATTAGTTGAATTTATTATTGTATGAACATCATGAAGTGTACTTACACAAAAATAGATGGTGTGTGCCAATCAGTCTTCTTTTATTTTGGCATTTAAATGATTTCAATTTTTTATAATTAAAAATAACACAATAACATTTTTAATGTAAACTGTAGTGTACCATTCATTATTTCTAGGGGTTAATTCATAAAGTTAGATTTGATTCTCCTTTTTAATTAGCCTGTAATTTATTTGTAAGATCTCTGTTCTAGGTCTCTCTCTCTTTATTCACATTTAATTTAATGTGTACTTTTATTATTACTATCCCTAGGAATTTGGGGAGACTTGTCAGATCACTGAGCTCCCTCACCTTCATACCAGAGTAAAATGAATATTCAGGACAATATTGGATAGAGCACAAGGGCACCTTATGCCCTAATGCAATCAACAGAAGAAGACAAGGACAGATTTACCCCCTTTGCCTTGGCAATGCTGCATAAATCTGATGCACTCTACACACCCTTTAGATGAGAAAGCTGAGGATTCAGATTCAGGGAATCTATCTCCAAAGCTTGTTCCGCTGGCCCATTTGAACACAGGACTTGAAATCGTTCTTTTGCATTCTCTTTCTTATCCAGATAATTCTGACTTCAAATCTCTTCCTAACCCCTTTCTATCTCTTCCTGTGGTTGCCCCTCTCTTGGGCTGGCTTCCTAAGGTTTAACACCAAGTGCCCCTTTACTCATGGCTCACATCTTTCTTCCATGGTCTTCAGCCTAAGCAGAAGCAGGTGACGGCCCAGCAGGAATCTGTCCGAGAAGAAGGGTTGCAGAAAGACCGCATAATAGTCATGGTGCTGAAAGCAATGAAGCCCTTCGAGTTTGAGACCCAAGATGGAAGAAAGCAAGAGATGTTTCATGCTACTGTGGCCACGGAGAAGGAATTCTTTCTTGTAAAAGTTTTTAATATGCAGCTAAAAGATAAATTTGCCCCAAAGAGAACAATTATCATATCAAAATATTGTTGGCACAGTGGTTTTCTGGAGGTGAATAGTGCCTCACTGATAGTTGATGCTAAGTCTGATCAAGAGATTAATGTACCACCGCATATTATCAGGAAAGCTGGGGAAACACCAAAGATAAATAAGCTTCAGACTCAGCCCCTTGGGACAATAGTGAACGGGCTGTTTGTAATACAGAAGGTAAGTTCCTATATATAGTTTTACATATTAATTAGTAAGAATAAGGTGTTCTTTAATCTGACCTTTAAATGGACTTTAGAAATTATTCAATTCCATTTTTTTCTCTATTAGTAAAAATCTAAACAAGTAAACCCAAAGTTCTAGAGAGTTGCAGAGTTAATGTGCCAAAACTCATAGGCAACCCCCTCCCCCAAATATTTTCATTCTCAAGAGGTTTTCAATAATCCTGTTTCAACTTCTTTTCATCCTTATTGCCTCTGGAGAAGGGCTACAATAGTTTTTACCCTTTGGGATATTTTCATGCTTTGTATTACCATTGGTATTTTAATTAATAGTTATATTAATGCAATAAACTGGATTCACTGACCTGGAAGATCCATAAGTTAGGGCAGGATTAAAGAATTCTGACTAAATGAAGAAAATAGAAAGAAGAGTGTGCAGAGCAGTATTACAAGTGAGAAATCATAAAGGATTGTGTGCTGAGCCTCCGGGAAGTCGCCTTGTGTGGCCACTTTTTCTGGAAGGACCTGAAGAAACAAACACAGGAGAGAAGCGATAGCCCCTCATCCAGGGACCATAGCACAACCTCGGTTGTCCTGGGTGAGCTGCAGACGAGCTGATAGGAGGAATCTGTCCTGGAAAATTCAAGCCCCAAATGACCTCAGATAGGAAAGCACTTTCTTTCTCTCAATTTTGGGCTTTTAATCTGGCCAGCCATTCACTACTATATACCCATTTAGCCCATAAGATTATACCTAAATATTATCAGTCTCTTGGGTGACTGGTCAACATCCTATTTCCTTTTCATCTGGACTTGATTGTGGATGATTTCTGGCCCTTGGTTTCTTACTCTTATTTAGACTCTTTTTCTAGGTCCTGCCTCATTGGCTCGTGCCTTTCCTGGATTTGCTATCATAAATGAGTCCCTGCAATATCAGGATCTTCCTTTCCCCTTACTGTCCTGGCTACTGGCCTTGGAGAAGCCCTAACTTTCCACTCATTAGTTTTTCCTCTGGGAGTCATCCTTGCCCGCCCCCCCGCCAATGAAGAGGGCTTTGGACTAGAAAAACGGGTTCAGGGGCAACATGCTCCATTGAGTCATGGCTGCCTCATATGTCTGAACTTGTTACATCAGTTAGATGTAAACCAACTGAAAGTGAAGCTGAAATTTTCCCGTACATTTCTTTCTGCCAGATGCTTCTGGCATGTCTGGTATCTGATTAATATGGCATCCCTTAATCAGCTTATCATACTGGGTGCTGGTTTTCTTTTTACAGAAAACAGAAAAAAAGGATCATGTACTGTTTGACGTCAGTGACAACACAGGGAGCATGGAAGTATTGGTGTTCAAAAAACAGAACCAAGTAAACTGTGAGGAAGGAGATAAGCTTAGACTTACCTTCTTCGAACTGTCAAAAAGTGGAGAAAAGTTACAGCTGAAATCTGGAGTTCACAGCTTCATTACGGTAGGAACAACTTTAAGGAAAGTCAGCTGAATGGGTGGTATTGAACAGGAAGGTCATGATACATAGCATGTCTGCATCTCACAGAACGGAGGAACCTCCCTCCCAGAAAATGCACATTTCAGACACAATTAAAAAGTCCTGGGCTTCGCAAGGAAGAGACACCCTAGTTCTCACAGAGGTCCACACAGAGTTCCTTGATAACACCATGCAGACAGCTTGCCCAGAGTTGTACAGATCATCCTGGCAAATGCAGATAGAAGGAGTCACAGACCGTAAACACCTTGAAGACAGATTTCTGAGTCAGTCCAACCATCCCTGCATCTACCAGAGGTTGGACTGACTCCACTTTGCTCCCTTCTCCGTGGCTCGGCTAATTGTTGTCTGTCTTTGTAAGAATTGGGCTGGAGCCTTGACAAAACTGCACGCATGCCCTTGTTGAGTAGAATTGTGTGTTTCAGAGCAGATGCACATCAGGAGAGCAGTCCAGGAACAAATAATGTATTAGGAGGGAGGGAGGGAGATCGTACAAGAAAGGTCCATGTCAGGAGGACATAGTCACTGGGAACAGAAGAGGGGTAACTGATCAGCTGCATATCAATCTATTTAATGTTTTTCCATCCAGGTTGTTAAGGCCAAAAAATAAAGAAATAAATAAACAAAAAGGATCAATTGAACTCAGTTTGTCTAAGCGACATTTAATTGAAGAATCCCTGATATATACTCTTCGACCAGATTGTGAGCTACCTGGGGGCACCAGTTCACAGGCTCCTTCCCACATCAAATTAGTGAAGATGTGATGACCGCTGGATAAACAACTCCAAAATATCAACATATCATCATCATAAAAGTTATTTTCTCATTAATTAGAGTCCTGGTTTGGTTTGGGGAAGGGATGGGATTCTGCCATGTATATATATGTATACTCAAGGATATTGCTGTTGTTCAATAAATATCTGCTGAATGAATAAAATTATTAATAAGAATTTTTCACTATATGTAATTGTGTCAGTCAATATGAGTTAAGTATATATAAACTAAATACGTAAATTATCAAATTCAAAAGAACAAATATGAAAGGCTCATAAACATGAAGATTGTCAACTTTACTAATGATTTGAGAAATACAATTTCATAATTACTAAAAAGGACTCTGCTTCCACTGAATATGTAGACATTTGGAAAAGGCATTATTCCCACTTTTACAACAACAAAAATAAGTCCAGATATTCTGAAACATCACAAGGTTCTCTGAATCCACAAGAAAGTTGAGGTTGCAGAGCAAGCATCTAATTTTAAAAAATCTAAAGAAAGATACTACCAAGGAGAGAGCAGATAGAAGCATTCTTGCAACCTCGGGCAGAGAGTGGACTCAAGATACCCTATCAAATAGAAGAATTTGGCTAAAATCTGTAATAAATTGAGGTTGATCAAGGTTGATGTTGGACTGGCATTAGAGTATGGAACTCCTGGGAACTGCAATCTTGAGAATTTGTACTCACTTGCAGGAACTTCATGTATCTCACAGGATGGTCATGAGAAAGATTAGGGACAGCCCTGGAGGAGGGAAAGATAAGCCATTGAGGGAAAGACATGAAGCCTTGACTAGCTCCCTCCATACAGAACAAAATACCTCTTGGGGAAGAAAAGCAAACTCTGCCATCTTTAGAGCACAGAAGTCTTTTTGAAATGGAAGAAGTTGTTCTTTTGGAGGAAAGGAAGAAATACATTCTAGGTCCAGAGTATTCAAGGTCCAACATCTGGAGAACATTTAGAATTAGAGAAAAAAATCCTACCCCTAAGATTCAAAGACACAGTGCCTGCCAAAGACAGGCTGAACAGGCAATAGATTGCTCACCATCATAGTGAATATGCATGCAATTTATCACCAGGTAAAATCATCAGATCACAGGTAACTAGAGCTAACTGCTAGGGGAGTGACTAAGGGCATGTAAAGAGAAATTTCCTTAGGTTTGGTTGTAAAGGAAGACATGAAGCTGATACTGATAGAGGTATTGAGACACTGACATGGCATAGCTCTAGAAGAATTTTCCTCATGTGGGGTGTAACCAACAACAATTGCAAACATGGCCTCTCTCTCAATTAGTATTACTAAACATCCATGGTAAAGTCATCGCAAAAGAAATTCCAGATACAAGAGAGATGTACTGAAACTGATATCAAAGTATTTAAAAATCGATGGAGAGACGACATCATCCAAAGGACGATATCAGAAGCAAAATGAAAACTATGAGAAAGAATGGGGTAGTGAGGAAGAGCATGAGAAGAAGACTACCACTAAATAAGGAGGGAATGGGAGGGAGAAGGGGAATTTCACGGAAGATGGAAGGAGACCCTCATCATTATACAAAATACATGTATGATGATATGAGGGGAAAAAAATAAATGTATCACATTAGATTGGGTAGAGAGAGGTGATGGGGGGGGAGGAGAGGAGAAGAGAGGATAGGAAGGGCAGCAGAATAAAACAGACACTAGTATTGCTGTATGTATTTACGTGTCTGTATAACCAATGTGATTCTGCAACCTGTACACTTGGGAAAATGAGAAATTATACCCCATATGATTCAAATGTATGATATGTCAAGATCCAAAAAAAAAAAAAAAAGCAGCTACAGAGATGCAGAATGCCCTCAGCAGGATCATCAGTGGACTATATGTGGCCAAGGAGTAAACTGATGAACCAAATATAGATCAATAAAAATTACTCAAATTAGAATACAAAAATAAAAAGGCGAAAATTAAAAAACAAATTATGACAACCAAATGGCATAGGATAACATCTCACAGGTTAAGATACCTGAATTTGGAGTCCCAGAAAGAAAACAGAAAGAAAATGAGGCATAAGCAATATTTGAAATGAGATGAAAGTTGAATATCATTCAAAACTATATAATAGACACCAAAATTGGCACAGACCCAAGAATCTTAGAGAACATCAAGCAGAATAAGTAATAATAATAATGGCATAAAATAGCAGTAAACCATTATATAGTTATAGATATCATGCATATATCATATTTGAACTCATAAAAGGCAGATACAGTAAAAATCTGTTCTTTTTTCTGAGACTGGCCTCAAACTTGGGATCCTCATGCCTCATGCTCCTGAGCCCCTGGGATTACAGGCATGTGCCACTGCATCCAGCTAAAGCAAAAACCTTAAAAGGAGTCAGTAAAAATGTCACATATAAACACAAACAAATGTAGAAATTATAGCAGACTTATTATCTGCAAATAGGTAAGCCAAAAAATTATGGATCAACATCTTTAAAGTTCAGTCAAACAAGAATTATAATTCCCGTAAAGTATTAAAACATGCAAATAGAAGAGATTTTTCAGACAAATATATCACTTATTTATAGTGAAAATAAAAAAAAATGTGAGGAGTTTTAGGAAAATGAGTGTAATATAGAAAATTGGATCTACATAATGGAAATTCACTGACAAAATACACTGGCATAACTGTAATGAATATAAGAATTCACTTATTGTTATTTTTAAGTGCCCTAAAAGAAGATTGATGTTCAAAAAGCAGGGCTTGACCTTTTATGTCTATTAGGCTGTGCAGGACACATGGCCTTTGCTACAGCTGCTTAGGTCTGCACAGACTACAAAGCCATAGGTAATATTTAAATAAATGAGCATATCTGTTTTCCAATAAAACTTTATTTATAGACTCTGATGTTTGAAATTTATATAATTTTCTATGTCACGCAGTATTATCCTTTTGATCTTTTACAAACATTTAAAATTAAAAAATAAACTAGCTTTTAGGCTGTTCAAAAACAGGCAATGAGCCAGACCTGGACAATGAGTCATAGTTTGCTAATTCCTGGTCTCAAACAAAGATACTAGCAATGTACAGTGTATTTATAGAATATCTAAAAGTACAATAAATGGCAAGAATAGCACAAAATGGGAGCGGGAAGAATTAGCAGCATACTATTACAAGGCCCTTATACAATGTGAACAACATAATATTATTTGACATTGGATTTATAATTAAAGATGTATATTGAGAATCTTAAGACAATGTCTAAAAGTATTGAAAGAGATATTTAAATAATAAAATGACTATAATGTTGGAGGAATGACAGGCATATAGAACAATGAAAGATGAAGTAGACCTTCACTCCTACAATCCGTTGAATTTCCTACAAAAGTACAAAAACATAGCCATGGAGAGAGGATATTTTTTCCCAAAATAGTACTGTAACAATTTGATATCCCTGTTAAAAATTATCTTATCAATACCTCACTTTCAATATAAAATTAACTAAAAATAGATCATTAGCTTAAAAGGTAAAAACCTAAAACTAAAATTTTCAGAACACAAGACAAAACTCTGATATTGATTTAAACAAACTTTTTAATATTTGACACCAAAAGCACAATACACAAGGACTATTTTTAACAATGTGAACTTTATCAAAATGAAGAGTTAATCTTCAAAAAATATCATTAAACACATTGGAAGGCAAACCATAGATTAGGGTTGAATATTTGTTAGTCATGTAGTTCCTCAAAACTTTGCATGTAGAATCTATAAAGACCTCTCAAAAAATTCAATATGATGAAAAACCAGCTACATTTTTTAATGGGCAAGACATGATACGTGAATGGCAGACACATAAAAAGATGCTCAATCTAATTCATCTTTAGAGAGATACAAATTAAAAGTAAGAGATTAAAGTGAGATGCCATTGCACACTTATTAGAATGATTAAAATTTAAATTGATCTCAGCAACTGCTGACAAGGATATGGCAGATCTGGAATTGTCCTAAAATCTGGTGGGGTTGACAAGTGGTACAACCACTTTACAAAAGAGTTTTTAAGAGGCTAATGGACATCTACAATGCTAAGCTCTGAGGGGGGATGAAATGGATCTGAAACTCTCACATATTGTTGGAGGAAATAGAAAATGTTATAGTCACTTTAGAGAATAGTTTGACAATTCCTTACAAACTTAAACGTGCACTTAAAATAGGACACAGCAATTTCACTATAAGTTTTTTCCGTACATGAAATGATAATGTATGTTCAGACAAAAATCTGCATGTGAATATTTATGGAAGTTTAATGTGTAATTATGCAAAAAAAATTTAGAGACCATTGACCCTCACCTGAGAAATGGATAAATGAACTTGTATCAATTCACACTATTTAACTGTATTCAGCAATAAAAAGGAATAAATCAATGTCAAACACAACTCCATGGGATAAATATTAAATGTATTTTAGTAAGTGAAAGAAGCCAGATTCAAAATTTTATGTTCTTTTGGATTCCATTTTAAGATATTCTGGAAAAGTTATAAATGTAAGTAAACTCTAAGTCAGAAGTTGCCTGGAGTTTGAACTTGGAGGAAAAGTTAAAGTAGATCTTAGCTTTTGTTGGAATGGACTATTCTGTATCTTGGTGGTTTATGATTATATGCATTTAGAAAATCTCACAGGAATTTCCATTAATTATAGTTAGTGTTACTGTGTACATTTTATATAATAATTAACAGGAAATACACATCAAGTTGGAAGATAGAATGGTGGACTTTTAAATATTCATTTGGTTGTTTCTATAAATATTTCTCTGAAATAAGTTCCCATTGCTTAATAATAAATAAGATGAAACTAAAAGACTCACAAAGACTAGATCAGGATTTTTAAAACAATGACTAATCCTAATCCATAAGGTTAATGATTCCTAGGTTTGTGAATGTGTCAATGATTTGTAATTACTAAAAACAATGTCTTCAGAAGTATTAATTGATACATTTTATACATTTGCATTTATTCTACTATTATTTGATTTAGAAATTCTACTTATAGATCTAATCTGTTGGTTAATGGGCATTAAATAATTGTGTGTGTGTGTATGTGGGTGTGGGTGTGTATATATGTGTGTGTATGTGTGTGTGTGTGTGTGTGTGTGTGTGTTTTGGATGGAATCCAGGGACTAACCTGCGGTAGGAAAGCACTGTACCACTGAGCCTTCAGCCCCTGAAATTGTACAAAATATCTGGAGGGATCAACAACAGTTCAATAAATTATGATAAATTTGTTATTAAAAATAGTTTAGAAGTATGATTTAGATTGACATGTTTTGATACAAAAAGATTTCTAAGACAATTACTAAATAAATGCAAGTTACAAACTAATTACAATGGCTTTCTTAATTGTTTGATAGATGGTAGCTAATTGCAAGTACTTTATCTAGAATGTCTTCACTTAATATCCAGGCCAGCCATAACTATGATGTTAATTCTGTTATTAGCCCTATTTTAACAGTGGAGAAAACGGAGGCAGGCAGTTGGGTGTGTCTTTTCCAATCATTGTCATACTGGGATACTCCAGAGATCTTCACAATGACATTTCTCTGTTTCTTGGATACCTTAAAACCACCCAATCTGTCAGATGTCTATGGTTGCAGATTAGCATCTCTGTGAGCTGTCCTGACCTCTTTGGCCCACATGCACTAGCAGCAGCTCTGGATTTTGGCTTTTTCTTAAGTTTATTTTAATTCCAAGAAGGAGCTCTGATATGTGGTATGACACAAGGATGTAAGCTAGAGTGGGATTGTGGAATTAGAGGATGAAGCTATTTAAGTGAAAACAAAACAAAGAAGCAAACTCTTGTGTAGAATGTGATTTTTTTTTTTATTATCTCTGTTGGAGACCCAGTTCTTACAAGTTCAAAGGGGAAATCAGCATGACGGAAAGCAGGGCAGGGACACTGGGGTACTGTAACTCAGTCTTTACTCTTAATTGCCACCATCTACAGATTCAAGAATAGCAAATTGTAGAAAGTTTTCATAGAGTATCAGGACAACTCAGAATACAAATATCAGTTGGGTATGAAGCAATCTTTTTCCTTATTGTCCATAAGTCAAGTTTGAATTTTGAGGAAGTTTTAGCAGGTGACATCCCAGGATGATCTCTGTCCTTAATTAGCGCCGAAGTAAGTGATTTGACACTTCATTAAATCTCTTTGAACTTCAGTTTCTAACTGTTGATGAGGAATACCTACCCATACCATGTAATACATTACCATGTAAGCACATTTGCAGTGATAGAACTGTATATAAGTATATAACATTATGTGTATATGTGTGTGTGTGTGTGTGTGTGTGTGTTATTAGAGTGGTTATAGGCAAGAAAATGTCTAATTAGCATCCGAGTCAACTATAAGAAAAGAAGTAATCAAAACAAAGGCAGTCTATGGCAAAGCAATATAAAATTATTCCTTGGGCCTTGGGCCCCAGAACCTCATGGTAGAACTTTAAACACACTTTAAAGCCTCTTTTCCTTAGACAAATAGGGCATCCATAGTCTCGGACACGTATTGTGGTAAATGTCCTCAGGCTCTCCAAATTTCCAACTCAGCTCCAGATTCTTCCCCATCACACCTCCCCCACACTGGAACTGCTCCCTGGGTTCTTAATGTATCTCTCTACTTTCCCATCCAAGTGTCCTTAGGAGAGTGAGTGCACCTGTCTGTTGCTTGTCTGCCACACACTACACAGAGTAAAATGGAGAAAACTATCCATCCACCTTTTAGGGCTTATAGGAAGCTTAAAGGACACAAAACAATCACAAAATACCTGGTACCAATATGTGATCGATAAAAATACAAGAGTAAAATTTCTTTGCAGATATCTGCTTCCTGCTATTCTACTCTAAAGAAAATCAGTTCTCTTCAGTGATTGCCTACTGCAGAAGTGCCTGGGACAGCTTCCTGATGGTTTCACACACAGGGAATGTAAGAAGGAGGAATTGTGGGGGGATAGCCACGGAGGCCTATTGGTACTTGGGTAGATGAATGGAAATACATATTTCAGATACAGGGAATACATCAGGGAGGGGCAGAAATTCTTTTAACATTCTAGTATGTTCATGCTAATCAACATAATTGCATAGTCCCCAGTTGTGGCCTCTCTAGGAAACAGATTTTCAAAGATATCTCCTCTTCTGTGCTAAAGCAAACCCTCCCAGTATAAAGGGGTTTGCAATTATAGCCCAGGGTGAATTTCATTGCCAAACATTCTTTTTTTCTTTTTGAGGAGGTCATAGCCTATTCAATGGTGACTAAGACCTAGCATTGATTGAGAAAAAAATTATTAATTATAGAAGTTATAATTATAGTTACAATTATAGAAGTTATAGATGGCAAAATATAGAATTTAGAACACACAAAAAAGTAGAAAGTAGAAAGACTTTTAATTAATTTCTTAAATTCCTATTTCCTAAAATTAAGTGCTATTTTTGTTTTTATTCACTTTTTACTCATTTATTTTTGTGGTGCGGGGGATTGAACCCAGGGCCTCATGTTTGCTAGGAAACCACTGTACCACTAAACTATATCCTCAGCACAAAAGCTGGGTTTCATATGTATGATATTGTAATATGTATCTTTTTTCTGTACTTGGATCTCATCTCCATGAGCACTGTTATCAATGGTATCCTGGCTTTTAGGAGGATTCTTGTGAAGTGTCCATATTTGAATTACAATTGAGTTGTCCTCTGTTGAATCTCCTGGCCTTGATTACCTTGAAGAAGAAAGTAAGAAGTTGAGATGCAGCTGGCCACACATTTCTCTCTTCACCCACAGGGTCTCCTCCCCACGAACCTCATCTCTTTTCTCACTCCTACTTATCTCCTGTAACCATTCCTGTGGTTGGAGTCACCTTTTCCCACTTGCTTAGGACTAGAAAATCATCTAGTCACTTTATCCACATGAACACAGGTGGTATCAGGAAACAGCAGAAGAGAGAAGAGCTGGTGGACCCCATGGCAAAGCTGAGTGGAGGTTTTCATTGGGCAGAAGGGAGGGAGGAAGTTATAAAAGGCTTTCCTAGTGCACCTGGTGGGAGGAATATTTGACTGATGGTCCTGAGGATCAGAGAGATCTCAGCAGATATGCTTGAACAGGTCATGTGTACATTTCAGTGGCTTGAACAGGTCAGCCTTTTTATTTTATTTCTTTGCTGTCCAGCATCAGCCTTTTGCAGTGTT